AAAGTCTTTTCCAACCTTAGTGATTCTGTGACAAATGTAAAGAGAACAAGACTGAAAAAGAAAAGACTGTTTTGAGAGGATACAGAATCACTAAGACACTATTTTCAGACACTATGATGGGAAGGATGGGAAAATGTAGTGGAATAACTGTAGCCAGTTTTTTCAACCTGTAAATATATTCAGCTGTATTTAATTTTTTGATCTGCCATAGCCTTCCCAGTTTAAGTAAGCGCCTGTTTAAATGGTACCAGTTTCAGTCACTAGAGCCCTTCTACCCAACCTTTCTTAAGTTTTTTCCACTAATTCTGGAAGAAAGAACAGATGGGATATTTAGTGTAAAGTCCTTTTCCAATTATTTCCTGATCGTTTCTTCGTACCAATACATATTTAGATCCAGAATACCACATAAACATGAAGCCCATTCCGCACCCCCCTTCCAAAATTTATTACTATTGAAACCGCCTGTTTCGCTTCTGGACACAGAGACTTTCTTGACCCCACTGTTATGAAAGACCTTATTATTTCTCCTTCTAAATTAATAATCCTTCCTGCAATGTACACTTAGATGTAAATTGTTTGACTGTGGTAGTTCATTCAAATACAGGCATATTTAAGGGGTTTTAAGATCTGCTTTATTGGAACCCTGTGGCTTTTACAGCACATTAGACGTAAATTACACAACAGGGAACCTTCTCTCCCTTTATTTTCAGCTGTCCTTTCCAGGCGAGGTGGCATGATACTGTCTTTAGAATTATTTATATATCTCCCTCGTTATTTTATCATGTATTTTAATGTGGCAGATTTCTGTCCTCTAGCACTATGCAAGTTCTCAGAGTAATCCTGGATGGAGCAGGCAGGGATTTTTGGTAATTAGAAAAATACATCAGAATTTTTGGTTTCAGGGTATTCAAGTTTGCTGTCATGAAGTAGGGGATGCACTGTCATATCCTCTTTTTCGAGAATAAATGGAAGCAATTCCTTATGTAGAAAATGAGATTTTTTTTCCTTGTCATCTCAGCAAAATACCATATTTTTAGCCAAGCCGAAGTGATGATGGATACCAAGTAATAAAGTTAAAACTGTTGTCTAGTAGAAGTTTTAGTATATTTTAAGATGAACAGTTATGTCACGCCTTCCTCAATCAGTCATGAGGACCTCTGAGATCCAGTTCACATCTTTTTAAAAATATTTTACCAGCTGTAATGTATAGGGACTTCAGACTAGGTCGTAAGAGCAGTGCGGAGGATTTTGGGGTGGGCTAAAAGTTTAGGCTGGGCTAGGACGACGGTGGGTCCCAGGGGTACTGTGTGATGTCCGCTGTTGGGAGAGCAAGCTCAAGGTGTTGTTTGGTGTAGAATAAACCAGAAAAAACGTTGTTCTCCTGTATTCTGGTTGTACCTCTGAGCAGAGGAAGCCCTCTATAGATAGAGCCTGGGTTGAGCTGGATGGCAGCTTTTACTGTTCTACAGTTCAGCTTTTTTCTGCTTAACTGTACCTGTGCAGAAGGGTGTTCAGCGCCGGTGGGGCTTGGAAGGAGAAGCTGTGCAGGAGGCTGGAGGACGGCTGTGGGGTCGAGGGGCTACTGATTCCTCCTGCAACGGCTTCTTGAAAATAAAACCTGTAAAACACCTGTAACTCACTGATACCAGCTACCAGTATGGGTTGTAATATGGATTACAGGAACGAGCAAATCTCTCCGTGGCTGGTGTTTGGAAACAACCGGATGGTCTGAGGGCAGGTTACTGTGCGCTCAGAATGCCTCTGCGGTGAGACGTCTTGCTCGGGGGTCACGGGCAGCCGCTGGCACCGCTCCTCCTAATTTGTGCTTTGGCTGAAGGCTGGGGGCCGGCACGTGGCCCCTCGGTGGTGGGAGGGAGCCCTGGGCCAGCGCTGCAGGAGAACTGCAGGCACGCAGGAGCTTCCAGCTCAGCCAGAGAGGAGGTACTTCATTTTTACGTGCGTCCAGGGTTAGGTAACTGCTTAGTGCCAATGTTGAGATCCCAGTTTTGGATGTGAATGCCTAAAAAGATGCCCCATTATTCTTATAATTCCTCCATTGCTGGTGTGAGTGGGAATGCATAGGCAGTGGAGCCAAACAACAATAGGTTTGAACTTTTATTACTTTTACTTTGAAATAGTATACCTAAATTCTCATCATTATACAAATTTATGTTCTATCTCTCTGTTTATTAGCAAGGCATAGTAAGTGATTGCAATTTAAATTTCAGGTACTAGTAACCTGAAATCTGATTCCCTTGTTCTCATTCCCTTCTGTATTCAACAGGGGCCCAGCAAGTGCTGTGGAAGCGGGAGAAAACACTCCATGCAAATTCAAGCACATCTTTTAAAAGTACTGTAACATGAGTGTGAGGCATGACCACCTCAGCACAGAACTGTGGTTAGAAATCTCTAATAAATCTTAGGCAAAGATCTGCTGTGCAGTGTGCAGCCATCGTAACTAAACATAGTATATGGATTGCTGGCTGTTTTACGATTTCTAATTAGTGATTTGACTTATCTGAAGTTAATTCAGAGCAGTAGTAGCTAGAAAAAGTCTTGTATTCTATCAAATGTGTTGATACAAAATAACTGAGGTAAGTAAACATGACGCTTCGTAATGTTTTACATGCATGTTTTGAGTGTTCTTTGTAATTTGTATGATTTTAAAAAGGTGACTTGCAAATTCATCCTCTGTGTATGTGTTTGCATATACATACGTGTTTGCAAGGGATATCTTCATGTTGTTTATCTTCTGCTTTGTAGGCAAAACCTGTTGCATTTGCAGTTCGGACAAATGTTGGGTACAGTGCAGCTCACGATGACGATGTTCCAGTCCCAGGCATGGCCATCTCATTTGAGGCTAAAGATTTTCTTCATGTTAAAGAAGTAAGTAAAACTAGAGGAATAAGTGAATCTCTCTTTAAGGGTCTATTTGAGTAATACTGCTACTATTTCTTCATGTTAAGATAGCACTTCACATTGTCAAAGCACTATACAAAAGTTATATAAATAAGGTAATTCTACATAAGGAATTGAATGTTCTTTGAAATATTGTTCTCATAAAAGCAATCGTACAAATTCCTTACAATCAAATTAATAAATTTTGGAAAGCAACTGCTTTTCATCTCTAGTAATTATCACTTACTTGGAGCCTTAAAATTGTCCATCTGCATATTCAATGATACAATATCTGTGGGTTTTACTACTCTAGCACTTTGAGGTTTCACTGAGATTCAGCAGCCAAGGGTTGATTCTGTTTTATTTGTGTTACTTAGTCTTAAGAAGAGCCCCAAATCCTCAGGTCTCCTTTTTTTCACTGAAGTTTCTTCTCTGGCACAGACAATATTTTGTTGTTAACAGTTATATACTGAAAAACTGACGTGATAACTTTCAAAATGCACATAGCAACTGTCAAAAAAGGTTCTTTGCATTGGCTGCATTGCTTTTCGTGTAGTTTGGCTTTGACAATTTTCAGGTTTTACAGTCTTATTCTTTCTCTACTCCCTGCTAGAAAATCCAAAGCAAAGGAATGGTAACTTTCCCATACAAGCCTTCCTAACCAGCCTGCTCCTCCCTTCTGAATGATTCCCTCATTTTACGAGATTTCCCAGCTTCTGGTCATATTCCATTGTGTTTTGACAAAAAAACAGTCTATCTGGAAATGGAAATTTATAGAAGAAGAAATAGAAAGTTAGCTTAAGAATGAGAGCAACTTAGCCATACATTTGAAATTATATCTTTGCCCCACTTTGGATCATCCAGAAATCCCTCAGTAGTTATGATTGATGATGCACAATGATTCCGCTAGTGCAGGTGCTTTGCGGAAGCAAGACACAATCCTAACACACAGGTAGAAATACAGATGGACAGAGACTAAGGAAACGCAAGAAATGGACTTTCAGTGCCTTCAAACTGATGACTAATGATCATCATTTTACATATCTATTAAGCACACAAAAAAGGGATAATTTGGATTCAAACTGTATATAGTGAAGAAAGTATGTTTTCTGTCTGATGATAGTGCAAAAGAATTGCTCTACTCTGTCTTGTGACAAAAATAGGGATGAGCAGGCACAGAGTCCTGGCAAAAGAAAACCATCAGCATTCCCAGGTGAGTCTGGAAGCACTGCAAAATACGTCTCAGTTTGATTAGATTAAATGATTTTGTTTAGTCATCTATTCCATCTGCATTTCGAATGAGCTGGTAATTTCAAACTTCACGTCAAGTCCTTCCCCTGTTTCCATATGAACCACAAACACAGTGCTAGCAGATTTTCTGTTATAATTTATGCTTTTTGCCTCACAGCACAGCTTAGACTCAGATGTAAATATGCATGGGAGATAATGAGAAAGAAGGTTTCCTGAACTTCTCTAGATCTCCAGAAATGCTTTGAAGAGAAGCTTAGCTCAGCTGAGTCATATTGTCTGTGGCTGCCTGTAGCACTGAGGAATGGAAAAATAGATAAAAATGTTCTTGCAGCTTCAGGTGTAATAGAACAGTCGCTCTGCGCTAATTGCCATTAAAAATACCTGACTTTAAGTCATTAAGAAAAGTTGACTGTCTGGCAGTGCTAGGCTAGAGCTGGGTTGTGGAAGGGACCCTGTGCCAGGGCCAGGCGAACTGTAAGGATGGAGAGGTGGGAAGGGACGTTAAGGAGTCAGGCTTGGACTTGCTGGTCCTGCATTTGGCAGTGGCTGGTGCATCTGGGCGGCTCAAACCTCTTCAGGAGGTTGCCCTGAGCAGTGGCCCTTCCCTGCACAGCCATGTCCTCCCTCTTCGTCTTCCATGGCCATGCTCTGCACGCTCACCAGGGCTCTCTGATCCCACCAGATATTGCTCCTTCAGTAATTTTGGTGCTCCCTATAGTTAATGTTGGGAGAACTGAAATGTCCAAAATTTAATTATTTATGCAGATGAAAAGGAAAAAAAAAAACTTATTTGACTATAAAATACAGTGATGCTTCTATGTTTTATACCTAACCTGTGGCTAAAAATAAAGAAATCTAATACCTGCTAACTTTTGCCTGCATAGTAATGCTGTATTGGATATTTTCTTGTCTGCGAGGAGTGTTCCCCAGTTTGTGCTGCTGAGAGGGCTCAAACAAGAAAACCTCAGTTCAAAACGTACATGGGCAATAGTGAGAAGTACTGCAGTGACTGAGTGTGAGCGAAAATTTATTTTCACTGTTAGGTTACATTCATTAAAACTCAGTACATGTAAAGATGAAGGATTCGTTCCTGCATGAAGAAACATGCACTGCATCATAGTCACTCCTGAATCACTTGGGGCTTTAATGCATGGCCACGATTCTGCTTTGCATTTAATTCATATTTGTTTCTCTTGGCACTCCAAGCATGGGTGAATTACAGAGAATCACTCAGCCAGCCAGTACCTTCAAAGCTGGATACTTCGCTACCAAGATTGCTACTACTGCTTTTTAAAATTAAAAAGTATTATAGGTGGTATTGTGTACTTATAAAACTGTCTTATCCTCCTTTTTATATATTGACACAGCATTTAGCTTTGAGACTTTGCAGGAGTGAATTCCACTTGCTTTTATTGTTATATGAAGAAAAAATTCTTATGGATTTAGCATTTCTATCAATTATAATAAAGATAATCTATTTTCTATTCAATCTAATTTCTATCAATTAATAATAAAGTGTTTTCTAGTAGTCTGTGTACTGTAGGATAGCATAAAAAGGTAGTGGCTGTTCAGATTTTAATTTAATGGTCTTTTTCAAGTATCTTATCGCTTCGTTTTACCAAGTTAATGATACTTCTGCAGACTTCATGTATACCATTGTCGGGGTTTACCCCCAGCCAGCAACTAAGCCCCACGCACCCACTCGCTCACTCCCCCACGGAGGGACGGGGGAGAGAATCAAAAGAGTAAAAGTGAGAAAACTCATGGTTTGAGATAAAGACAGTTTAACAGGGAAAGCAAAAGCCCTGCACGCAAGCAAAGCAGAACAAGGAATCCATTCACCACTCCCCATGGGCAGGCAGGTGTTCAGCCATCTCCAGGGAAGCAGGGCTCCATCATGCGTAATGGTTTCTTGGGAAGACAGACGCCATAACTCTGAACATCCCTCCACCCCTTCCTTCTTCTTTGTCCCAACTTTATATACTGAGCATGACATCGTATGGTATGGAATATCTCTTTGGCCAGCCTGGGTCAGCTGTCCTGGCTGTGTCCCCTCCCAGCTTCCCGTGCACCCCCAGCCTTCTTGCTAGCAGGCGAGTATGAGAAGCTGGACTGTCCTTGACTACTTAGCAACAGCTCAAAACATCAGCACCTTATCAACATTTTCTCATCCCAGAACCAAAACATAGCCTCACACTAGCTTCTGTGAAGAAAATTAACTCTATTCAGCCAGGATAGCCATAGAACATTGCCATATAATGACAACCTCCGTTGGCTCAATTATTAAACTCCTTCTCCTTCTATATTATCCTACAACATTTTTAAAATGCACACACGTATCTTTAGATAGCATTTTGCAATGAAAGGTTATGATTTTAATAATGTGTTTCTGTCTAATACAGCTTTGAGAAATTGCTATTCCAGATTAGCTCCCTATTAAATCTTTGGTATTCTTAGTCATAAAGGCATCCCGTTGGATGAATGTTACAGATCCCCATATGTTTTATGAGCTCGAAGGTGCCTTTACTTTAATCTTCATTTTTTGTTAGCTAAATATCTTATAGTTGATTTCAAGCATCACAACATTTCTATAGTAGCCAAAATGAAAGATAATACTGCAGTTTAGGTTGCGTGTCCTTGATCTACCAACATTGTAGTCTCGGTGAAGTAAATTCCTTTTTATGGGAGCCCACACATTTTACATGTTTTACTCCTAACTGTACACTTGTTAAAACTACTTATTAAATAATTGAACATGCACTATAATATCTACATTCATAGCTTCAGGTTCAAGAAGGCAACTTCTCTTCCCATTCAGATGTTATCTACAGTTTCATAAATAATCCAAATTATCCAAAATTCATGTTTGACAGTAGTTATTCTCATGGAACTCCTAGAGTATTGCATGTGGGGCCATACATAACAGTGACCTATTCTCACGCAAAAGTGGTGAATAAATAATAAAGGAAAAACAAATAATTCTGCTCTACAGACCTCTGCAAAACAAACAAACGAAAGCCCCTGTGTGTGTATGAATAAATATTACTAAATTAGTCATTATCTCATATTGGACTATCTTGTGCATTTTCATAATTGTAAGGTTTTTTCAGTTATCCAAAGATATCCATTCCTTGTGGATCTATCAGGGTATGTTTAATGCATATAGATCACATAAGCTGTATGCAGTAGAGCATACATAAGCAGCAGAATGTATTCATATTTCAGAAGGCTTTAGTGAGTTCAGAGAAGCAGGAAAGTTTGAGAAGTAGTATCTTTTACTTTAAATAGAGAGCTGAATATAATGGAATAAGAAAAACAGATTATTACAGAGCTGTAGAAATTGTTGCAGTGAGTAGGAGCAAACCAGAAGAAATCTCTGGTGTCCACCAAGGAGAAACACCAACGGAGAACAAAAGCAACTCATGTATGAGGGGAAAAGACTGAAGCAGAAAAAGAAGATGATGAAATGGGTAGAAACAACAGCCAGGGAGAATCATGAAGTCTGTGAAAGAAGGTTTTTGCTTAAGTACTGTAGCATTTTAATAATTTGCATGGTGTCGTTATTTTAGTGTATTTCTAAATATTACCACAGTTCTTCATTGACATAGTAACATAGTACAGTGATTAACTGCAGGGAAGAATTACATAAAATGGCCTAGCTGCAAATTAAAAATATAACAAAATGATCCCAAATACAGTAATTTCTTAGTACATGACTTTTTTTTTTTTTTTAATTTGTAGAAATTTAATAATGACTGGTGGATAGGACGGTTGGTAAAAGAAGGCTGTGAAATAGGATTCATACCAAGCCCAGTCAAACTAGAAAACATGAGGCTGCAGCATGAACAAAAGGCAAAACAAGGAAAATTCTACTCCAGGTAATAATTATTAAAAATAATTTTAATAATATTAAAATCATTAAAAATAGTAGCATTGACTGTGACACAACTTGGAAGTTAATGCTGTGTACACAATAGTTCTGTTCAGTTATTGTAATTGGCAGCTACAAACATTTTGAATCAATGAAGGAAGTAATACTTCTTTATATAATTAATGTCATTGCCATTTTTGAGAGAGAAGGTAGATATTTAGATTGGTGGTCTGTGGTACCCTACAATGGCTATTATTCCATTTTATGTTCATAAATTATTTGCAAATGTACATTGCAGTTAGTACACTTACAATGTGCAAGCACCATTTTTTACTTAAAAATCAATCTCCCTGAATTTTTTGGTATTTGTTACTTGTTTTCATGATCTTGCAATTTCTAAACACTTTTAAAGCTGATTTTAGAAATTGCAGAAAATGTTAGGATGAATTTATTTGTAAGCTGAAGCCAGTGCCTGTTACTTAGATCTTAGGGAAAAAATGTTTTAGTCTCATCAAGTTCATTGCCTACAAATACAGCTTTTAAGAATACTGCATTTTGTGATGCAAGTTTCATGTCAAGTCATTTGTTGTCTCTGTAGCCATCATTACATAAAAATAAAGATTCAGTATCTAAATGTATTGAACAATGCTGCAAGGTGGTAGTAATGTCATCTTTACGGTAGAATTCTCAATAAAGTACCTTTCCATTACACATGTGGAACTGCCACTTGCTTCCCTTTGGGTATATAAGAAGCAAATATGTCCAGTATTTCTGAGCAGGGTGGACCTGGAATTGAGGAAGCAGCCGGGAGACTTTTGGGAAGGCAGGAGGGGCAGCAGCGTTCGAAAAGCACATCTGCGCTAAGAGGAGACCGGGATGCTGCTGTGCTCAGCCGCATTCGCCGGCTGTGAAATGCCTTTCCTAGGAGTGTGCTGTCCTCAGCAGGAGGACGGCAGGTTCCCTATTCCTCTTGGGACGCTGCTGATACAGCCAAATCTGACCCTGTGATTCGGTCCCTTTCCAAATTGTAAAGGCTTCCGTTCTCCAGAACTTCGCACTGGAGATAGCACTATCCCATGCCACAAATGCATTTACTTAGTGCTTATTAATATTTTAAAATACAGAAAGTGGAAACTAGTACTATCACATGAATTATTTGAAGAGTGAGATAGCCTTTCTTACATTCTTTTTAGTGCTTTTCTCATTTGGTAACTGAAATAAAATGACTAAACATACTGTTTCATTTTCACAACTTGGATAGGTTTTTACAAAGCAGAACTTGACAAAGTCCTAGACTGCTTTATCTTCATTTGAGAGACTTTTTTTCCTAAGTGCTACCTTGTATTGAGACGACAAAAGAATTTGCACTTTAATTAAATTGAAAAGATATTAGGCAAACATGCTATCACTTTCCTTAGGGAGCTGTCAATAACTCTTCTGTTAAAGGAAACAAATATGCTCACTGGCTTAAGGATTAGTCTTAGTAATGAGAGTAATATTAATAGTTATATATCAGTAGCCATATTAGTAATTGGATCACATTAGGATCATGAGGTAGTGACAGCATGTGCAGCAGAATGAAGTTGCACAGCAGAACAAGGAGCACGACTGATGTTCGCAGTTCCTCAGTCCTCAAAATGTACACGCATTTTGTGTAAGATGGATATTTCATACCACTGCCAGAAATACTGTTTGTCTCTCGGCTAGCAGCTCATTTAGAAGGCAGGTAATAAATAAACTAGAATAAATACTGAGAAAGCCATGAAACTTCAAACTAATTTGTTGCTTTACTCCAGTAAATCAGGAGGAAACTCTTCATCCAGTTTGGGTGACATCGTTCCTAGTTCCAGAAAATCAACGCCTCCATCATCTGGTGAGTAGGTCATGAAGCCTCCCATTTACAGACTCACACACCTAATCTGTTAAAATTTATATACATTTAGTCCTATTTTTCTTATTCCCTGTACTTCATAGGTGTAAGGTTGTGTGGTTGTGTTGCCCTGTAAGGCTGGTTTGGGTAGGTTTGAAGTAATGGAGTCAGTGCCAGCAAGTTCAGGCACTGTTAACAATCCACAAAATTCCCTCTTTGCTTTTACCATGGTGTGTTATAGCAAAGACATAATAGAATTATAAGACTGCGTTGCAGTAGGATAGTTAGAGGTTTGGTC